GGATTAATATAGACCTTCACTCGTCATTATTCCGATTTAATTGAGATAATCGGAAGGCTATTATATTATAATGCTCAGGAACGACCTTCATGGCTAAGGTATGTTAGAATAATTTCCGGATCGTAAAATTGGTTAGGCATTTTCACATGACTGTTATTTATAACAAAAAGTGCATACCTGCAAACCAGGCTACACGTAGTGGAAGCTTGACCCTTGCTATTTGTCGCCTTGCACGTGTATTCACCTGAGTCCTCTGGAATTATGTGTTGAATGATCAACACGGCGGTTCCGAAGTCATGTTGCGTCTGAATCCTGGTGCTATAAGGAATCGGTCGACCGTTGTGCAGCCATTCAATCCGGAGGGTCGGGTCTCCGAGAGGCTCTAGTTTACACTCGAACCTGATCGAATTGCCCTCTGGCTGTTCCTCAAAGTCTGTCAACGGCTCAGTGAACTTTGGAGGATCGAATTCGGTCTCAGGCAAAAATTCTTCTTCCGGCATCCGATGTAGATACTCTTCCAGTTCGGTGATCTTGGTTCGTTGGCCGACCTTCTTCGTCTGCCATTCATATGAAACGCCACCTTTGCCTTCCACCTGTAGTTCGATGTCCGCAGAGCAAGAGCCCTGTGCATTGGACGCTCGGCACGAATATGTGCCAGAATCATGAGGTTCGGCTGGAGCGATTTCCAAAATCACAAAACCGAAATCGTTGATTGTCTTGAGTCGTGAACCTATCAAAGGTTATACGTTAAATACTGACGGCTCAAATATACTCTCCAGTGTAAATGAGAGGTAAAAAGAAATATTGTACACAACCTATGGTTGCAGAATTAAGTGTGTTTAATAAGTCACAATTAGAAACATCAAACATCAACTACATATGTAAGAACAGGATTAATATAAAAACAAAATATTTAACAAGTCCGTCTTTGCCGGTATAAAGTCTGGATAAGAAAAGCAGATGGTTGGAGACCGTCGTGAAGCCTCCGTAAAAACCATCCACCTGTCCCTCATGGTATTTCTGTCATGAATATTATGCTAGCTCAGTCGTCGTCCGGGGTTACTAAGGACCGCGCAGGCAAGTCCGGGACTGAGGCAGGCTGCGAAGTCGGCGATCAGAACCTGGTCATCGACCTCTGACAGCACAACAACGGCTGACGAAGATACCAATCAGCAACGGAGTCGCTATCCGTTCTGAACGGAGAAGGCAGACAGCGCCATGCCATTGCAGCACGTCAGAAAAGGGTCTACGAAAACGCAAACATCAGTTGGTGCTTAAAGTTGGAAATTGGAACATATCCTCGCTCAGAGGGAAATAGCAAGAGCTAGTTGATAAGGCCATAAAGTACCAATCGACACTGTTGGACTCTCGTCAACGAAACGCCAAGACTCTTGACTCCTGAACCTTAATGGTTGGAAACTGGTAGAACCCAACCTTGCCGATAGAATAATCGATTGGAAGACTAGCAGCGGAAGGGTGGTAATTCTCCGACTGAAGCTAGAATAGGCTAAAGCATTGACCTTGTTACACGTTATGCTGCGTTCTGTCTCCTCTCTTGTTTGTGCTGGACATTGATCGGATAGTCAGGAGCAGTCAAGGCAATAAAGTGTCTGGGTGCAAGAGATGTGAAGACGAAAAGGTTGCTGTTTTGTTGGCATCTTCTGAAAAAGCTCTATAGCACTATTTCGAAAGGTTCACAACCGAGTACGACGTGACCGACATGCATGTGAACGCATACAAAACGAAAACCCTAATGCTTTCTCGTTCTTCTGCCCGTTACTCTCTTCAGATTAAGGGAGAGGCAAGGAGCAGGTGGAGAAGTTCAAACACCTCGTAGTCGAATTTACTACTAATGGAAAATTTGAGGAAGAGGTCGACCGGCGGATCTGAATAACTAGCGGCGTTCTGCGTAAAGTAGCCCAATCATTATGAGTAAAGCAGTGCTAAGTTTGAAGACTAAGATCTCGGTGTTCTAGCCAATCTTCGTTCCTTATTTACGGTCATAAGTCGTGCATGAAGACCGAAAAAATTTGATCCCTGGTACAAGCGGCGGAATTGGGCTTTCTGAGACGAGTCATTGATCTTACGCATCCGCGAAAGCCTTGGTGTACAATCGCTGCTACTTCAGATTGAGTAGTCACAGCTGCGATGGTTTGGAATGCTCCCAGAATGGAAACGAAGCAATTCTTTCTTGCCCCGTCTACCGGCAAAAGACCCCAGGGACGGCGAAGGTTAACATGGTGCAAATATATGGAAGGAGCTTGTTACAAATTCCAGCTGTCTTCTGCCGAAGCTCAGAATCTGGAACAGGATCAGGAAAATTGGAAGCTGTCTGGCGCGTCTGCCTGCGCGACCCAAAAGGAGAAGCGATTATTGAAAATGAATATATTTAACAAGTTGTAACTGTCACTATTTCCTACACTGAGCTTAACACGCTGTTTGGAATGATATTGATTCATAAATTTATGAAACAATTGAAGATCATTGTTCTCGTACAAAATTTTGCTACCATCTCTATAGCTTAAATGAAGAGCAGGTCTGAAATGAGAAACACACTAATTTAATTTAGTTACGGGTGACATCATTTCCTGATTAAGTCAGCTGTCAAACGATTCAAGATTCTAACGCAGAACGTTTTGGGATGACCTCAACAGAATATCACTTTCCCTCGTTGTTGACGTGCAAATGCCTTGCTACCTGTCTCTAGGTCTGTTGCAGCGAGGTCCAGTGAGGTGATTTCTTCGCAAGGGTAAAGAAAGTTAGTTTAGTGCGGTAAATTTACACAGAGCTTGAATTCGAGTATGTCTCATGCGTAGAAAGCAAAACGACTTGAGAGGAACGCCACTGCCTACTTTCCAATTCATAATTACATGCGCCACTTCTGGAAAGTTTCTTAAAACTTTTCTCCGGAGCTAACTACAGAGCTGTAGAAATGTTCAATCATTCTGAAGTACTTACTTCTAAAGATATAGTTCAACAGCTTGTACAAACAGCAGCTCCTCATCTTATTAGCGCTGACATCAGAAATTTTATGTGGACCATCCACTACCTGATGTTTCTCGTGCTTTTGCTATACTGGTTTTATTACCTCATTATATGTTACGAATCTCCTGCACCAGATTCGATATACTGCCCTATTTGCACGCACAGACATCCACGCAATCGGCCCTCAATGAAACTGCCATGGCACGAATCCTTCGGGAGGCTGATTCAGTTCTTGCCATCTACCTCGAAAATCTGCTGATTATCACGTGACAGTTTCATCCTTAACCAATTCGAGTGCCCGAAGCAGACTCTTTCCTATCGATCTTTTTGTTATCAGGAATTCATTTGTGAATCACATTTTTTTATTTGTCGCTCAACGAAGAAAAACATCACATAGTATGCACTTATCAGTTTTTTCTTCGTGTTACGGTTTTTGTTAATTCTGTTCTTTTGTTTTTGCTTAAAATCCGTTCGATCGCAAAAGACTTTAAGCATACAACTATGAATCTTAAACCTGTTCTATTTATCTAAATAAATTTTTGAAACTCAGACCGACACCACCTGTTACGCATCTCAAAGCAATAATGATATGCAAATCTTCTAAGTATAACAACATATGCTACAAAAATGACCTGATGATCACTAATGAAACTTTGCTTCCATGTTTTGATAGGCACAAATATAAATTATAATACCGTGAACAGTGACAATGTTTGACGAATTATATCCACTCTAAATAAAGCAGTAGATACAAAGGGTGACGGGTGTGCTCATGGCTTTGAGACAAATGTACTCAGCGGTCAGAAATTAGGATAGAAGGAGAAATGGGGGCTGTACTAGTCCTTATCCTCAAGGGAAACGCGGTCACGAGATCCCGTGTGACTGACTCAAATGCATTCTTCCTTAGTACTTTGATCACAAAGACCTTGGAGACCCACACTTGTTCACAACACAGAAACAAAGATATCGACACAAAATTAGACCCCGATATTAAGGGCTTACTGGCAAATCGCTAGATTATTAACCTCCAGGTGAATTACAATCTCTCTGTCAATTAACCGGATTTTACCCGGCATAGACGCATCTTCTCTTTACACCTCTTCATGAAATATTATGTAGCCGTGGAATGCTCAAACGGTCACCTAGGCTGCTTGAAGCAGAGTACGGTGTGACGAAACCCTCTAAAATTCAGAAATTGAGAAGAAAGTTACCGACCTTTAGCGTGCTGTGAAATTCGTCAAACCAGAAATACCGACTTTAGCTCCCGTTTTACATATTATCATTGCTTAAAAACAACACGTTATGTGCAGTGATCCTATACTTACTGTGCTAGACAAAAACACTCAGATGTACCCCTTCACAACATAGCAATAGAGTTATCGAGCTTAAGCCTGAAAATCATGAGAAGTTCGTCAAATCAAATCTGCATAATGGAAGTCAGCTCTCGCTTTATACTTTCAACTTCAACACTAACAAAGTGTAACTTTCAAAAACCCTAAGGCTACCGCACGAAACAGGGTGTCCGTCCATTGCGGGACCAGCTCATCGAGTAGGCATACCCTTTTATAACATAGGAATAATGTCATCGAAATTCAGCCTACAAATTATTAAACATTCACCACACTTGCATTACTGACTTGAGCTCTCATTTCACCCGTTTTCGGTTTCAACATGCGTAACATGCAACTACTCTAAATTTACTGTGGGATAGAGGACGTTAGTTATGGGGAACCACTGAACTATGGAAATGTGCCTTTTCATAAGAGCAGCGTTACTGACGCTTATCTTGAGAGTCATGACAAATTGCCAAACCTGCATTACAGAGCACCTCTCATTTTACGCGTTTTCATTTCACTGAGAACAGGCAACGTGTGCAAGGACCCTGGACTTACTGTGGGAGACAGGATGCCCGTTGTGGAACCATTCAACTTTCATATTTGGGTCTTCAGCGGGCTCGAGTTTGAACTCGAAATGCGCCACCTGGCCGCTGATCAGCTTCAACGACGTTTCGTCCTGAGGTTCGAGGATCGGTTTTCCATACACCGGCTCCGGCTCCATCTCAGGCGCTGGTTTGGCGGTCTCGAGAATTTCGATTTTCTGCTGCGCTCCAGAATAGCTTTCCGGAAGCTGCGACCGGCGAATGATTTTGTCCTTGCTTTCGCAGACGATGTGCGCCGAGGTAACCGCCTCGCCCAATCGATTGCTGGCTCTGCACAAGTACTCGCCGGAATCTTCCGGGTACACGGGCGTGATTTCGAGGATGACAAAGCCAAAATCGCAGATCGCCTTCACACGAGAGCCGGTTTTCAACGCTTTGCCGTTAAGGAACCATTCTATCTAAAAATCACAGCCTTAAACATCAAGCATTAATTTTTATTGGTATTAGTTGGTATTGGTTAGTATTTATTGATATTAACGCTTAACGTAAACTTCTGGAATCAAAAAATATTTAAAGTACATCGAAATATAGCCCTATGAATTATAGGAAACAAAAATTATAGAAAATGTTCAAAAAATGATATCTGCTTGTTGTGCAAAAAATACTTGCTTAAGGCAAAGTTTACCATCATAACTATTAACTTTATTTAACACCGTTAAGGACGGGTAACGATAGCAGCTGACCGTGAGGTGACATAACGAGACAAAGTTCAGTAAGTGCTTCATCTTGTACTGGCTGGATAAAACTGAATTTCTTCGTACTTTCTTTCTTTAACTCAGTAGCGTCAATCACACTAGGGAGCAAGACCACGGCATGGTCGACGGCAAAGTCTTATTGTGATGAGAAAATCGGGGGAAATGGACAGATGCTGTCACGCGCAATCACATTTACAATGACATTGACCTTAACGACGGAGGATGGCATCGATTGTTGCATCGATCTATTTTAAATGTTTAGATTTAATGACGAAATCATTGAGAAAACCAGCATACCTTCAGATTAGGGTCGTTCACGGGCGAGATGGTCGCCTCCAAATGAGCGTTGTCTCCTTCTTGCAGGGGCGGAGGGTTCTGCAGCGGCTTCAAGAAGACGGGCGCCATTTGAGGTTTCTCTGGTGGTGCCTCGGCCGGCACTTTCACCAGCGACTCTTCGAGGTCGTGCACAGCCTTCGCCTTCTCGATGCTGATTGGTTCCAGGAACAACGAGCCCTTCGGCTGGCACTGCAGCGTCGTACTTGTGCTGTCTGTGCCGGATTCGTTGGTGGCCACGCACTTGTACTCGCCGCTGTCCTCCGCTGTCATGCCGATGATGTCAAACACACAGAAGCCGAAATCGTATATCTGCTTGAAGCGGTGGCCGGTAGGCAAGAGCTTGCCGTTCCGGAACCACTGGATCTTCATCTTAGGGTCGTTCGTCGGAGTTAACTGAGCTTCCAAGTGGGCCGAGTCGCTCTCAATCAACGGAGGGAACATCGGCAATTTGGTGACGAACCTCGGCGCCTCTGGTGGTTTGGCAGCCGGTTCCTCAACTGCTTCCTTTGGCATCTCCAGAACCTTGATTCTCTCCAAACTCTGTGGCTGCTGGGAATCGTAAATAATTTTTTCGCGCGGTTTGCACATCAGCTGCGCTACCGTCTGGGCGGTTCCTGCCTTGTTCGTCGCCACGCATTTCCATTCGCCGCTATCGTTGG